TTTTTTTTTTCATTTGGGAGGGTGACAGTGGGTGGATGGAATGGGACAGTTTGCTTTCAATTTTCTGCTCCTTGTATTTTTCTCAACTGTCCAGTGTTCATCACTTTTGGCGCATTAATGACTCAGACAACATTTATTAATGATTTAGGCTGCAGAGGGAGTTCTATCTGATAGAGATGAATAGATTGTTATTTAGGTCTTACTGTACCGGTGCAAAGCATTGCACATGATCTATGGAGTTCTACAAGCAGCAACAGGAAGTTTAATCCTCTATACTGGCAAACAGTTGACTTGGTCTGTTCCAGCATTAATTACACTGAAGAAAAACAAAACATTGTAGCTTTCAGGACTAACTGCTCCATTAAGTGTAGCATTTTAAGCAAGAGAAATGTTTGCACACAATGGAAAGACACATAATGTTGCTCCATGCACAAATCAGATAAATTGTTYTGTAGCTTCAGTGACAGCAGAGACAAAAGGCTCTGTCTCCCTCATTGTGGCAGCAACATCTGGGTGCCTGCCTGCACATTTCTCCCCTGACTTGAGGCCTCTCCATGTCCCAAAAGCAGGAGGAAGAACATTGTTCCACATACCTCAGGTAGCCCCAAAATGGGCCAAGGCCCGAAGGGACTGGGAGGTGTGATGGATGCAGGTTTTGCTGTGACAGCACTGAAGTGGGGATTGAGTTTGCAAACACCACAGGGAAATCTGCTATCATAGTAATGGAGCTCATGGGCCTTTGAGTGGCTGAGTAGAGAATTATTTCACAACTTGCCCCGTTTCCCTTCTTGYCTCTGAGGTATTTAATAAAATGAAGCCAATAATTCATAAAGTAAAGGGCTCAGAAGATCCAAATTGCTCTGTAGAACAGTCCCTCAGGTTACYAAGTACCAACCCAAAGCACAGCAAAGGCCCCACTCTCAGTTTCCATAAATCCACTCAAATCCTGCCTTGCACTGCAGCAGCTTTGGGATCATCCTGCCTCCCAGAGCTCTCCAGATCTYAGTAGCAATGGTCTTTTTCAGGATTCTTCTTCTACCAAAGCCCAAATTGATGATGAAGAAATGACATTGATGTTGGATATCATTCCCTGCTCACAGCAYCCTCAGAGCCKCCTCCCCCTGCTCCCCAGCCCCCTTTTTATAGCCATGCAGGAGATCCYCAGGTCACAGCTCAGTAGTCTTTGAGGAGAACTCATAACTCTCTGAACTGTCAGAAAACATAAAAACAAACTGACTCATTTCAAACATGCCTCAATCTCCACCTCAGCAAGCTTGGTTACGTTTTTAAAAAACAAGCCAGAAAACAAAGCAAACTCCAAACCAGAAACAAGAGTTGAAGACAACCATCTTTGTAAATTTAGTTTCTAATCAGGCTTCCTTTCTTTTAGGAATGGAGCAGTTTTGTAGACCCTTTGGTTTGTCCTTGCTGCATCTGGGCAGTGAAGGCATAGCAGGTGAGAGAATCACTTTTCCTGAGGCAACTTCAATAAAAAAAAGCTCAGCCAGGAGCTCATTCCCATGGCCCAGAGCTGAGGTGTGGACCTGTTCACTAATCTTTATCTAGCACCACATTCCATATCCTGTAAGTGAAATTTATGCCTAAAGTGATTATTATTAATATTTTCTGCACCCTCTTGTTATAAAAATACTCTTCCTTTCAGGAACCTGTCTACAAAAGTCAAAGGTTCTGGGCTTATGCCACAACAGTGATGAAATATTGCAAGGGATACTGAAATATATATGTATTTTGAAATATGAATGTGTATGTGAAAGTGRGAAATCAATGAATATTTAATAACTGAGATACAGCACTCTGTCTTTTTTAACCCCAGAATCTTCAGACACTCCACCARCCAGAGAAGCTGTGGCTGCCCCATCCCTGGAAGTGTCCAAGGTCAGGTTCAGAAGGGCTTGGAGCAACCTGGGGTAGTGGAATGGGATGAGCTTTAAGGTSCCTSTCAACCCAAACCATTCCRGGATTCTTTACAAACCCCGATTTCCTGCCTGGYATGGGTTTTGTATCAGGCCCCCCAAAATAAAGAAGGCAGATCTCTTTTCCCCAGCTCCCTCACTGCACTGGAGGCATAAATTCCATTTTCCTTTCTGCAAGTGGGGAGCTGCAAACAACTCTGGTGCCTTTGGGGTAGGCGGGGAAAAGAAGTGTGGCTGATTCTAAATAAAAGTTTCTGTCAGATCAACCTTGATAGCAGAGATAATGGCAGTGATCACATGGGAATAAAGACTCAGGCTTTGGTTTAATCATTCTTCCGTATCAGCTGCACCGATCCAGTTCTGCATGACTAAGTCAAATAAATGTTAGGTAACTGAAATTACCTCCTTTCTTTTCACTCCCCCCTCCAGAACCCACAGTTTGTTTCAGGGACTTTCAAACAGGTAAATCTATAAAGGACATCTGCAAGCACTGATAACAAACAGAGGATGGAGTTTTTGTCAAGAGGTATCTGAAGTTAAGCTCTGAAAGAGATTTCTAAAGGCAAGAAATAGTCCTAAGGTCATAAAAATCACATGTGCCTTTGAAAATTTCTATCAAGGCTGTACCCAGCTGCCTAAATTGGCTTCCATTCACTTCACAGGGTCTCTCTAAGTGCTGGAGCACGTGATTTTCAATTCCACTCCCATCAACTTGGGAGGGGAAAGACCACCAGTGTCGAAAAGATAACTTTGATACATTACAGAAAGCCTTGTAAATAGTGATGTGACATTTTCATTTTAAAAAAATCCCCACATTCTCATATCAACACCAACAAGAAGCAGGCAGCCCTGAGGTTTGGTTTGAAATCTTGATCCAGAACCAAGTTATGCTGGTTAGTTTATCCTAAAAGAAAGAATAAATGTGTAGGATCCCAATGTGTTACAATAAAGCAGCATCCTTAATTTGCTCAGTATCTCAGGTAAATCTATAATCAATAATTAACTGGATTTTCTCTGGTTTCTTCTGCATTGTCCCTACCCCGCAGGAGCTGATTGCAAGCTCACACAGGTGATGTTCCTTAAATCCTGAACTCCCAGAAGCACAGAATTGCATCAGAACCTCCACCTTCAGCTCACCTCACCTCACCTCACCTCCTCTCTTACCTGGGCCAAGACAAGGTAGGAAACATGACCCCTTTGAGATGCAGAAGCAGAAGAAAGGAAACAACATTATTATTTTAATTTATTTGCTATGGTTTCAAACCCATTTGAAACAGTCTTAACTCAGGAGTTTACAATGTCTGAGTTGGTAATTCTGCCTTTAGCCCCCACACCAAGCACTACACTGTGTATTTAAACTGAATTGAACTTAAGTTTAGTTTTAATTTAGGGCAGCCTGCCCAGATTTCTTTCCCCTCTGCTGACAAACTTGGCAATGCTTTTACAGGGCCATGAGAGCATTTCAGCCTCCCTTGCAAAGAGCCTTCACACAAAGCACTTTATTTCTCCCCAGAACAAATAAACAAGGAGTAAACATCCCTCCTCTCACATATACAGAGCATTTCCTCATCATTCCCTTCCCATTTTGCCACTCTTACAGCCCAGGTAGGACCTGAGTTTTATGGAACTGTTTGGAAAAGGCAAAGCTGCGTTTTTTCAACAGCAAGGACTCRGAAGATGACTTAAAGAAAAAAATAAACCCAAGGTTTTTTTGTATGTTTACATGCACAGCTTGTGGACTCTCTCCAGTTCAGCTGTGTTTGAGGATCCCAGCATTAAAGGGACTGTGCTCTGTTCAAAATGCAGTGAAACCCCCGAAGGAGAAGAGCAGGCGGATTGTGGTGGTTTGATTTTCCCCTTTTTCTCTGGAAGAATGCACTTTCTTGGGTTAYACATTAAACTGTCAGGAGGCAAAATCAACACTTGGGATCCTACATGGAGCTTGAAGAGCATGGCCATGCAGAGCTTCTCCCATAAATCTTCAAGTTGTTTCCCTTATCTAAGCAAGCTATGTATAAATATTAACATATTATTCATGGGCAAATAATTCCATGCCACTCCTTGCTGCTGCTCCTGCTGCTGCCCTAAAGAGGATTCTTGGTTCAGATGAGAATGACAGTCCCTTTGTCAGGCCTTCAATGCATTTCAGGTTAGAACAATTAAAAAAAATAAAAAGAAAAAGAAAAGAGATAGAGGGTAACTTAATTAAGTAAACCTCAAAAATGAAGAAGTGGCCTTTAACTGTTGGTTTTAATGTAGGGGAGCCACCACCACATAAAAACTCTGACTAAACTCTGTAGTAATTGCAATTAGTCAACTCCTACTTGACTTGGGTGAGGTAGGGCTGAGATCCAAAGGATTTGTTCCCTGCTGTGTGCATGGATGCATGTTATGAGCCGCCTCGAGCTCTGCCCAGGTTCAGCACAAGTGTTGGATTTGTAGTGCTGGGGGTGTCACTTTGGCCAGGGTGGTTTCTGTTTTCCAAGACTGGAGCACAGTGGTGGGATCTCCCCCTTCAATACAGGTGAATTTTTTCWTTAGAATGTTTCTTGAGAATATCCCTTGTGTGCTAGGAAAAGTGCACTCCGTCAGAAGTTCTTCCTGCACAGGGCTGGACATGCCAGCAGCTGTGGACAAGAAGCCATTGCAAGTGGAACATGTGAAAACAGGGGCCTATTCATAAAAATAATATATTTATATTTACTCCTTCAAAGCCTTTGCTCAGAAGCTTTTTTAAAGTTCAGCTGGATARAAAATGCCCACTTCAAAAGCCAAAACGAAGACTTTAACAGATGTGCCCTGGCAAAGAAAAGGGTGCAGACACAGCAAGGAATTCAGAAAGGACAGACAGTCATAAATGGACACAAAAAAAAAATTCAAATAAATGTTTGTGGCCTGGAGCTGGAGTTTTTGTGTTACCTGTAATGAGSCTCTGGTTTTGGGCCCTGGCCTATTCCTTTCTCTTTTCCTGACTGCAGCTTTTGGTGCTTTTTGTACTACAGGAGAAAAAAATATAGAATTCCACCAGCCCCCTCAGTCCCTCCAGCAGCTAGAGGAGGGAAATGTCCTATGAGGAGGACTGTTCCTAAAAACTGCAAATTTGGATTTTATTTGTTAGACATGCTTAAACCCCACGGAATTCCAGGCTGCCAGAGTGTGACAGGGCAGTGTTTGTGTGTGTGTGTGTGTGTGTGTGCGCAGTCACACCAAGAGCAGTCTGACAGCAGCTCCCTGTATGCAAAGTTTGAGCAGTGCTGAGTTTGCAGGTGCTGCCTCCTCACACCCTGGTGTTGAAAATCCTCCTCTCCATCCCTCAGGATATCAGCACATCCCATTGGGTGGCCACCCTAGTGACAGTTTTATCTCCTGCTTAATTGAAAGCATATTAATTTCAGGCTGTTAGCACATTTGGAAAGATTAGATCAGGCCTTATCCCCATGATTGTGGTTCAAGAGAGGGCTCAGCCTCAGGAGGCTTTTGTGTCCCTGTGTGTCCCTCTCCCGTGCTCCAACAGCCATGCAGAGAAGACGCTTGGTGTCCTCATCAAGATGCTTAATTTTCTTTCATGAAACTCCAAAACCAAACAAAGAATGTCCTCTAGATCACTGGCTGCTGTTTCCCTTTGCACACTAGACTGCTGTAAACCGTGTCAGGAGTTATGATAGAAAGGCCTATGAAGATTCCAAAGCCAAGCCTCAGCTGCCCAGGGAGAAGCAGAGCTGGGATTGCCCTGTGCACCCCGTGGAGGTGTTTTTTGGGGGGCTGTGGGGCCCTGCCCAGCAGGATGTGCCGTGTTAGTGAAGCAGAGCTCRGCCGCTTCCCGTGCAGCTGTGAGTGCCCCGAGCAGCGCCGATCCCAGGGGAGCAGCCAGGGCCCCCCGAGCTCCCTGCACACCACAAACACCCCCTGGGCTGAGGCTACTTCACAGCTCACAGCAGCTCTGGGACCGACAGGGGAAAAYTCACATTCCCTGAGAGATCCCTCACCTGCCCCAACCTCAACACCGCCCTTTCCCTCCCCAACAACACCTGTACAGTTCAGAAAAGAAGTAACAAAGGAATTGTTATTTTCAGTGGGTAATTTCAGTTCTTCAGAGTAGCTCTATCCTGTGCCCCAGATGGGCYGTGGGGCCTGGGAAAAGCTACTCAGAGAGGTAAGTCAGAAGCACACAGGTTTTGCAGTACAGGAATGGCCTGTCCATGGCTCTCCAGGGAGGTCAACTCCAGTTCAGGAGCGCCTACACAAATAACTGCCAGAAATTGGGAGAGTGGATTAGAAGGATCACTCTGGACGTGCTGCTGCCTTGTATTTTTTCCTTAGGCAAGAGGTGCTGCCTTGGTAACAGAAAGGATTCTGGCTTAACTAGAAGTGGTTGTGTGATTTTTGCACCACTGAGCCTCTTGGAACACGCAGGTGAATTGCCTTCAGTGTATGAAGCGCTAGGAATTTCCAGCAAAACAACTTTTTATTGTGTGTGCACATTTTCTCATCTGCAGAGAAGAATAATGGTGGTACCCTGCAAGGATTTGTCTGAGCTGTGTATTTCACAGAGCTGACATGAATGCTGAAGACATTAACTTACAAAGACATTGCTTTTTTCATGACTCACACCAGAAGTTATTTTCCTGTAGGATTGTTCTGAATGATTAAGATAGGTTTGCCTGCATATAAATGCTGTTCTACACATATAGATATAYATACATTACCTTCACCAGGGAAAGCTCCCACACCTTCCCTTGTTTATGCACATTATATGTGACATAGATTCCAAGTTAAATGTCACAGCCCTTATTTACAAGGTAGGGAATGAATATAACCCAATTTAAAACCCCTCATTTTCAGTGCTGCCCATCTCATCCTTCGTGGAGAACATTGGACAAGTGGAGTTGAGACCAGCCCCCTGTCTGCTGTCAGCTTCCCAGGTTTTGTCCACTTGCATCTTCCATGCTGCTGTAAAATTCTCTTTCCACATACAGGTAGGAAATGATATTTAATACTTCAGCCAGTGAGGGGGAGATGGGGACAGCACCTCAGAAGCTGCTTCTCAACCACTCCCTGATTTTCAGCCCAGCCACACTGGCATGTTGGGACAGCCTGGGAGCTGTTTGAGCAGGCACCAGGCTCCCTCAGAACCCGAGCCCAGGCAGGGAGCAGCGTGCTCTGGCCACGCTGCCTCCATCCTGCCTGTCCCAGCTCGCCCTGCATGCAGAGAGACTGGAGCTCATGGAACCGCCTTCCTGTCTGCACCAAAATCCCTTCTCACTACTCAAAGGATGTAAAGGGAACATGGAGCAAAGCACAGAAGCAATTCTCCAGTCTCTGAAGCTGTTAAAAATATTTCTGATAAAGGTACAGATATGCACAGCTGAGCTCCAGTGAACACCTTCTTGTTTCTCATGCTAATTTTATATTGTTCCCGAAGCAGAGCCTGATTTTTTTGCTTGTGAAAGGAAGATATTAATTCTGGTCCTATTCATTAATCATATCAAAACCCAAGGTATGCAGATATTATTTTTCAGTAATTTTAAGGTGCCAGTGTATTAATAAAAGGTTAAGAAATGCAAAATAGCTGTAAAGGGTTTGGTTTTTTTCTTGAAGTGTATGGTTTTCTCACATTACTGCAGACTACATATTTCTTTATTTGTCAGTAAGAGCAAACTGTGACCCTGAACCTCTACTGTTCCAAAACCAAGCAAAGATAATGACTTTCAAAAAGTAAAGAACAAATTGTTTCACAAATAATRAGCATAATCACAAAAAGAAGCATAAACTTCTCCTGCCTAGTGGTGGCTTCCAAGACGTCAGACATTTTGTAACTGGGCAATCGGATCCAGACCACGCAGAATTGGGACGGTCCTGCTTTTCCTGTTAATTTTTCCACTGTGAGAGTGTCCAAACCTCTCTGAAATAAAGGATTACTGTCTAGGGGTTCAGAAAGTCATATTTTCATAGAACAGTTCATTCTGACAGGTAACCCCAGCAAGCACACAAGCTGTTCCATTAAATGTCATGGCCTTAAGCTTTAAAATGCATCCCACATCCCAAGCTCAACTATTTGTTTGTTTTCAGGAGTGTTTTCAGTGCTGCTGTGGCCGAGAGTTTAGATCAGTGGTTTAGCTGCCTACACCTCATTTAGAGATTGTAAGCAAGGGAGACCCAGTTTGGTTTAGTGTTCAGCAAATTACCTTCACCCTCTTGCCGCTAAATCACTGTACAAGCATAAGCAAACCACTCAGCTCTTCCTCTCCTTCCCCTTATTCAAATGTCCCCAGGCCATCACTTGTGATATGACTGTGAGGAGTGAAGAAGCAGCACATGAATGTGGACAGAAAATTCTAGAAGCTCTGTGGAACCAAGGTCACAGCACGAATTCTGAGTGTAACAATGAGATTTGAGTGTTACCAAAATCTTTCTGGATGAAAAAAGCATGGAATGGTGCCTGTGGTTTTCTACCCAGAACAGCCAGAAAGAAATGTTGGTTCCCAACAGAAATCTGCTCTGAGATCACCCTGATGGAACATGGATTTACCAGATTTGAGGCAGGTCCTTGAGGCTCAGTCTTTTGAGGTTGCAAAATGTGCTGGGCCAAGAATTGAGAAAATAGAAAGATTATTTAACCTCACCCCACTTCAAAATGTAGTAGGAACATATTTCTACGTTATTTAAATTCTCCATCTGTGTTTCACTTGGTTCACATATTCAAGCCATTTTCTAAAGTTGTGAACAACAACTTTTAAATACAAGTTCAGATCCTCGAATAATCACAAACTCTCAGAAACTTGGCCTTTTCAGAAAAACCCAAATAYAGAGCAAGTCAACAGCACTAGTAAGTCAGTAATTTAGGCATCCTGCTTTTAGTAAATAGTGTCAATAGTTTTTGTGCATTGTTTTAGAAGTATTGAAGAGCTGTTTCCTCAAACAATGTTGGGATCATCTACAGGGGTTCCACATCTTTGTACTTCAGGCATCTCAACCGAGGCAGCCAAAAACTGGGTCAGGGCAATGGTCCAAAATTTTAGTGGTGAGCCTCCAAAATTCAAGACACTCAGGGAATGCATGTTGGGGAATAATATGAGAATGCTGGAGGAAAAAAATGAAGGGAAGGGCGTATTTAATTTGTATCCAATATTCATATTTCAAAAATTGGTACTGACAATTTGGAATAGAACCCTATGTTTGAAATGCCTGTGACACAAAGCCAAGGCAGTTGCCTCAGATGCTGTCTGATCCCATCGGTTCCTAAGTTGCCACGAGGCAATCTGGATGGCTGGCTGCTCCCAATCCACAGGCACAGGGAGGTTTGGGATGCCAGCTTTCGAGGAGTCTCCCCAATGGGTTACTCTGGATCCTGGAACAGGGGAATGTGGGTTGGCAAGAACCCGCGTGTCTGGGAGCTGCCCAGCAGCCCCGCAGGCTTCCCCAATTTSGGCTCACCATCATCTCTTCTGATAGGGTGGAGGAAACTGGGAAGCACAGCTCAGCTTGAAAGCTCAGAATTCAGGAGCCAGATCCCACAGAACTTTTACCCCGTTGTTCCTGGGCAGCTGTTGCAGGGAGATGAGAAGCAGCTGGAGYTGAGAAACTGAAGCAGCCTTGTTGGAGGCACCTGGTGACTTTTCAGGTGGCCCTGAGCCTCCTTGCTGTTTGCTCAGCAMCGTTTTGGGGTAGTTTTAGCAGAGAAATGATGCTTTGAGGAGCTGAAGTTTATAATTATATATTTTTTTCAGGATTTGGGCTCCCTTTCAGCATGGAAGGGGTGATGCTTGAGAGCAGGGAGTGTGACAGCCCAGTCTGCCCAGTGATGGAAAGTTAGAAACTGGAAATGTACCTGGATGCCACCCTGAGTCAGCCCAAACCGAAGTATCTCTACAAAACACCTAGATGTGAACAAACTGCCGTCCTCTGACAAAAATATTCCGTCTGAGAATTTCTGACCAGCTCTGGWGGTAAACACCTCCAGGGTGTCGTTTGTGTCTGATACAGGGCAAAAATTATTCGGATACCTGTTGCTCGGGGTGGAAAGATGAGGGAATGGAATAGTAAATTAAAGGGGTTGAAACAGAAAGCAGCTGATTGTCTGAGCACGGCTGGCCAAGCTGTGTTCAGGTATCCGTGTGGGAACGCACCTTTCCATGGAGGACACGGCCGTGACAGGGGCTGCAACCGCCCTGTGGATCGGTCCTCTGTCCCTTCCCCTCAGCGAGGGGGCTTTACACTTGTGCGGTTTTAGACTTGGGGGCTGTGCAGTTGTGTTTATTTTCATTGCCGCCCCTCGGTAGGATTTGTCCGAGGACCGCTCCTTGTCCTGCTCCGGGGCTTTTCTCCCCTGGCTGCGGGCCCCGGGCCCTGCGGAGCGCGGAGCCCCTCAGGGAGCTGGGGCCCCCGCGGGCGGCGATGGAGGAGCGGAGYTCCCGGCGGGCCGGCCGCCTCCCCGCCCTCCTTCCATCCTCCCTCCCTCTCTCCCTCCCTCCCTCGGCGGCGTGTTTGGGAGGGAAGGAGGGGGTGGAAGCCGGGCCGGGGCGGCCAGCAGGCAATTTGCATGAGAGACAGACTGGGAATGAGCTGGAGTGGGCGCCTCTCCGCGCACACAGAGYGGGGCAGGAGGGGGAGGAGGAGGGAGCTGCTGCTGCTGCCGCCGCCGGGGAGAGGCGGCGAACTCCGGGCAAAGTTTGGAGCCGCGGGCCCGCGGCGCTGAGGCAGAGGCGGGGCGGGGAGCGGACGGGCCGGGCCGGGCCAGGCAGGGCCGCCCGGGCCGCGCGGTGTGAGGCGGCAGCGGCGGGCAGAGCGCGGAGCCGGCGGCGGGCGCTGCCGGCACAGCCAGCATGTCCTCCATCCTGCCCTTCACTCCTCCCATCGTCAAGCGGCTCCTGGGCTGGAAAAAAGGCGAGCAGAACGGGCAGGAGGAGAAATGGTGCGAGAARGCGGTGAAGAGCCTGGTGAAGAAGCTGAAGAAGACGGGGCAGCTGGACGAGCTGGAGAAGGCGATCACCACGCAGAACATCAACACCAAGTGCATCACCATCCCCAGGTACCGGGGTGCGGAGGGCGCGACTCCCGGGGATGCGGGGGGCCGAGGGARCAGCGGGACCCCGAGGGACCCTCAGGGACTCCCGGGCTCCGGCACGGCCGGGACAGGGCTTGTTTGGCTTCCCGGCCCTGCCGCGCTTGGTGCGGTGTTGGTCCTCTCCGCCTGCTCCTTATCTAGTTAAAAAAACCCCGTAACTAACTGGCTGCAGAATTGAATTACTCTCTAGTAACGAGAGCGAAAACGTGGTGGAGAAAATATGTCTCGAGCCGAGATTATAAAAAAAAAGAAAAAAAAGTTGGAAGCGCTGTGGMTTAGTTCCACTCACTGAGGGTACTCTCATTGACAAAAGTTTCAGCGTGTTCTCAAGAGCTGTTGCATTAAGATTTCCTTGTGATTAATKTGTCAGGAAAACGGTTTTGTTTGGGTTGTTTGGCTTCTTCCATATTACCCCTCTGAAGGGGTGGTTTAGAGCCCTGCTCTGCTGATGTTTTCAAATCACTTTTTAAATYGTGAATGCAAATGGCAGAGCTGAAGGAGATTGTTTGGAGCGAAAAAAAAAAAAAAACCAACAAAAAAAAACCCAACAAGCCCTAAGCGTGTGAGGGTGAATATATGTGATTTTTWSCTTCGTTTTTTGAATTAACATAGATTTCATTTTTAGCCTCTATTCCGAGCTCGATCCTTAGGGCCATCATAAATCATAAGAGACGTGTATAAACTATCCCATCTAAGAATAATTTTCCAAGTAACTTTCAAATGGCTGCCCACAAGTGGTGTTTTATTGCTGCAGATTGTTGATTTCTGTGAGCTCAGCCAGATGACTGCTGGGTCTGTTCCTGATTGTTGTTTGMGAGTACTTTTTTTTTCTTTTTTTTCTTTTAAGCGAAGGCCAAAGTTCATCCCAAATATTTGAATGCTGCATAATTGTGTGCTTCTGCGTGAGAAGATATCTGTGTGTGTGTGTGTATTCATGCTTTTCTCTGGCACAAACAAATGTATGCTTTCTTGGTTGTCAGAATGATTTAATATGCAGGAGCTGATACAAAGCAGCATCTGTTGCATGAAAAAGTGAAGCATGTAGCTTAGAAATGTGGATGTTTGGAACTCCTAAAATTTTCTTCCAACAACTGTAGTGTTTTTTTGAAAGGAAAAATAAAGTCTCCTTATCTTTTTTGCTGGTGAATGACTTTGGCTAAGATTTTGCCCAGTAATGCAAATGAGAGCTCTCAGCCTTTGTTAGAGTTGCTCTGGCTTCTACTTGAAGCAGAAATCAAAACCTGTAGAGCCACCACACAATACAAATGCCTTAAAACCTCTATTTTTTAAATTCTTGGTAAGCAGCGTGCTTTCCACGTAGATAATTCCCTGTTTAAAACACTTCCCTGAAATATTTAGCATTTCAAAAGAAGAAAATTGCTGGAGCAGCCCTGCTRCTGTGACCTGGGTATTGTGTCTGGCTGATGCTGACACTTTAGGGAGCAGAGCATGAAGTCCCTTGGAACTTCTGTGACCAGTACAAGGTGATTTAGATAAGGAAGGGTTTGATACTTTATGATTTAAAGGAAGAAAAGAGTCGGGCCAAATATAATGCTTTATTTTAAAAAAAAAGGTTGAAAATAAATAACAGAAASAGATATCACAAGTCATGAATATTCTCACCTTCAGAGATTGTCCTGGGTATTCTTACTGAACATCTGTTTCTCCTCTTTTAAAGAAAACCTGTGCAGAAATTAAAACATTTCATGTTAATTTATGACACTGAGCCTGGATCCTGCAGATGTTAATGGGTATGGGGGAGGCATCAGCCTGTTTTGAGGGGAGCCCCTTAATCTGTCGCATTAGTTTTTAAACACAACTTCATTTGTACTTTTATTATTGTTTAGAAATGAAGGTGGTGAGGTTAGTCTGGGCTGAGCTGTTAATATCTGTATCTCAGAGGTTGGGGAATGGTGTGGGAATGTGGAACAGTCTGGAGTGCAGAGCTGGAGCTCTAACTAGGCCTTGTGACTTTAAGAGCTGTGCCTTTTCCTCTGGGCTGCACTGCTTGTCCTAATGTATCTGTGAATCTGATTACTGTGTCATCTGAAATTAGTGTTTGCAAGACAATTTTAGCATGGTTTTAGTTCGCTGTTAGTATTTTTTTTATTTAATAATTTTTACATATGTCATTTTACTCTTTACTCAAATAATATGTTGGGGAGGGGGAAATGGGGGAAAAGCATCATTAAGGATTAGCTCATGTTGTGCATTGTCTGTAATGCATCAGTAGACTGAATTACAGTGGAGCCATGCCAGTGATGACTCTGGCCCAGCAGGAGCAGGGTAAGTCCAAAATTAGCTATTGTATCCATGAGACGAGCAAGTTTCACATGGAACAGGGCTCGAGCTTTGCAGAAACATTGCTTGTGGAAATGAGGGCTACACAGCAAATTTCTGGTCTGATCAGGTGGGGTTGTTCGAAGAAAGGACAGGAAAAAATATTTTCTTGTTGTAGGGCTAAGGAATTAGAATAACAAACGTATTCCTGCTGTCACGTTTATTGGCTGGGATCTGGAAATATGTACTGCATGCTATCTCCTGACAGATTAGTAAACAAGGATTAGTTTATTTGCTGGTGTATTTGCTCAGCATGTATTGCTTCTCCAAGTGCTCCATTTCTAAGGTGATGTGACAGACATCTCAGGCCCCAGGTTTTCTGTTGGAAGAACCTCTGGCAGAGAGCAAAAGGCTGGAGAGGCCTTCAAGGATTTCAGTGTGACTCTCCTGGCAGGATTTTTTCCTTCTTGTTTTACTGGAGGAGGAAGTAAATTCTACCTGAAAAACTCTGGCCTCAGACCATCTGATGGGTGCTGGTGCTGCTCAGGAGGGCTYCTTTAGAGGATCTTCCTTCCCTCCTCCTCTGGGGACACAGCTGCCAAAGCCCACCCTGCCCCAGCAGGACCTTGCTTTAAACCTCTGTGCCCTGAGCTGGTGGCCTTTGGTGTCAGGACCTGAACCTAGTGAGTGGTAGCAAGCTGAGGCTGCCTGGCAAAAAAGACATTTTTTCATCCTGTGTTGGGTGATAAAGTTGAAAACACACATTCTTCTGCCCATTAAAATGCATCCTTTGCCATAGTTGCATTATATTGAAAGCCCAGCTTTCAGGATGAGCATTTTTTACCACTTTTCAGACCAAGTGTGCCATTAGCACCTACCCAGCACAGCCAGGTGGGTGTTTGTGGCCTCTATGCTTTGTTCAGTGAACAGGCAAAGATCTGCTCCAGCTGCTTGCAGAATTTTTGAATTTTTGWTGCCTCTATTCTCTTCTGAAACCAGAAGTATGGTAAGAATGGCATCTACACCTGGCATTCATACAAACCTGCAGAAACCTGAGTTTCTACCACCTGTTCCTGAGCTGAAGAGAGGCCATTCTGTGCACCTGAGAAACCAGCAGCATTTGCCCTAAAAATGAAGTGTATTAGTCTGAACTGTGGTGAGTGTTTATATCTACTTTTATGGGGTCTGAACTGCAGAAACCAGATCATGTGATGGGCACTCAGTAGTTTCTAAAAGCTGTGCACTATCTATAGTCTTGYTATATGAGATAGTAAATGCTCTGTTTCAAGATGTTCAGTGGTGCTACACACGCTAAGACATAAATCTCATGACATTTTGTAATATATTTTCAGATACACATTTTTYTTTTGATCTCATTACTGTATTTATTTGTTTTGGTATCACCAGTGGTTTTAGGGGAGCCAAGATTCTTGTATGTAAGGAATGCCTTCTTTTAAGTGGTGGGGTTTTTTTAAGTTTAGAAAATAGTTTTTGAGAGAGGTGGGTGTTATTTCTTGTGGAGCTCATCTGATAAGGATAGAATGTACCAATTGAAATGGAAACATGGCACATTTGCTCCTTAAAAGCTACTGAACAAGGTGCTCCTTAAGTGATTTACATTTTGGGGGGGAAAACCAGGAATAATGCATAAAGGAACATAATGCATAAGGATAATACACAAAGAACATAATGCATAAGATTTCAGGAACATCTTGGGYGTGAGCACAGCTTCTGTTGTGTTGGTACCTGACCACATAGCATTTACAGGAATTGATCAGGTTTGAAGTGGTAACAGGAAAATATGAAAACTGTGAGGATGCTAARTGGCAGAGGCTGCCTGCAAGGTCCTGAAGGATGTTGTGGTTTCACACCACGGTGTGATTTTTGGGGTTGGATTTGCTCTTTGTGGGTGYCTTCCAGCTCAGGATATTCTGTGATTCCATGCTCTTCTTTTGGGACTTGTGCCTGTCTGGTCTCAGTAATAAGGAAAGGACCACAGTTTTATGTGTCCACATGCGAATTTACATATTTTTCTATTCAATTTTTAAGCTGCCTTCTTTTCAGRTTTCTGTCTCTGTATGTGAGGAGCTTTTAATATTTCATGGCCTTGTCTGAGAGAGCGTGTGGAGGCATAGCCCTGATGTGCTGGAGGTGGTTACAGTCCAATCCTGTGTGCAAACACACTCTGGTTGCCATCGCTGTGCTTAGCTCTATCCTGCTGGGGATTTTCCTGCTGCAGACCTGTGTCAGTGACCTCTGTCCTGCCCAAGSTTTATGGGCAGATTTTACAGCCCTGTCCCAACCTTTGTGCTGCTGCAGTGCCCTCATRAGCCATGGCACTGAGAGCTGCTCCACAGACCAGCTGTTGTGGCCTCTGTGGGGCTTTGCAGGTCAGGTCTGAACGTGAAAATATGGGGAGTGCACATGAGCCTGAGCCTGACAGAGCTCCAGGAGTGTTGGGACAGTGCTCTTGGGCACGGGATGTAACTCTTGGGGATGGTCCTGTGCAGGGCCAGGAGCTGGACTTAGTGAGTGGTTCTTGTGGGTCCCTTCCAACTCAGCTTACTCTGTCATTCTGTGACCTTCTGCCTGCAGTCCTGCTYGTACACCAGTACCTTTCTTATCTTCTGAAAACCCACCTCTACAAGCACAGGTTTCTGCTCCCTGCAGACCCTCCAACTTCT